TCTCGCTTCTCAGAGGCATTTTGACAAAAATGCGCGTCCAAATTTAGGGGGGCCAGAAGGCTTAGTCTATTCCGCGCTCCAGCGGGCGCATAAAACTTGCGCTAGCAAGAACAGCGATTATGAATGTTTTGGGGGAAAAGAAAACGTTTAAATTAATTTGTTAATAAAATAGTGAAGCATTATTCTCAGTCAGTGTTGGCTGAAAAAAAATCAAGATTACCAATGCTGCATACATTTCAAGGATTTTGTTTAATTTTCAGCTCATTGCTGTGACGCGCCATATTTCACAGAGGCTGCAGAAAGCGCGTCTTGCTTATTTTCTCTATTTTATTAAAAGCACAACTTTAATTTTAATGTGAGTGTACACATATTTCCATTCCATGAATATAGGCCTATACAGCCCAGGTTGTAGTATTGCGTAAGTGGGGGGCATTATTTTACAGTGGTAAAGTGGAGCATTTCTTGGCAAATTCATAATGCACCCATTTACCTGCACGTAGGCTTTTAATTATTATTATTATTATTATTATTATTATTATTATGCAATTATATAAACTAAGTTAACACATTCTATCTATTTGAACCACACACAGTTAGCAGGCTTACATTCATTGCGTATCTATAAATTAGGCTATTTCTAAAAACGTAAATTATTAGACATTTGCCATAAAAATAAATTCATAGTTCTCTACTGAAGAATAAGACAAATGTGTGATTACGATCCTTGCATGAGCAGATCGAAGCATTTATATAACTATAATATTTTTTTAGTTTATAAACTATATATTTTATATAAACTATAAAAATATAAACTATTATAGGCTGCAGATAAATGAAGGCGCCTTGTCTGTTGGCGCGTGCCTCTAAAGAACAGAGTCAGACTACATAATTTTCAAACAAAACTTGATGCTTATTTACATTATCCAAAGACAATCCTTGGATCTGTTGTTGTACTTTTTCTTTTTAATATGAAGTTATTTTCTTAAATGTAGGCCTAGTTGTCCTTCATGCGGTAAAATAACCACAGCCTTTGTATTTGATATATTTGTAAATTGTCCTTCCAGTTTGACACAATGTAAGTAACATTTTGGCCTGTTACTTATTAAACACTGAGTTAGTGAAATCCTTATTTTTCACAGAGAAACAAATCATCCATCCGCAGTTGTGTAGGACTTGTGTGAACAATATACAATCCATGGCCTATTTTTGTTGGAAAATCTTTTTGAAAGGAATTTTGTTTGGTATAATTAATACAATAAAAATAAACAGGAAGAATAACATTTAAGGTGCTTCAAAATAAGATCCGCTATAGGCTGCAGCACCAAAACCCAGTATGTTAAATAAAATTATTTAAAAAAATTAAAGTAAAATATTCACAGTTTCATAGACTGTAGTAGCTATAGCCAAACTTTATTCACTGTAAATGATGAAATCTTCCTTTGCGCCAGTCAGTTTCACCTTTAATCAATTATAATCTTTAATCTTAATCTTAAATAGTAATCTTTAATTTGAATGAGCCAGAACAGCCTTTACAGACTCTATGTAAGACCGAGAAATTATAACTCGGTCTGTGAAAGAGAAACTCTTTGAGAATGGAGATGCATGCTAGATTTGTTTATATCCCAATGTGAATAAGCAACAAGTTTTTATTGAGATTGTGTCCTCTTACTGTTCTTTGATGGACGCGCAGTAAAGCTCTGAATAGGCGCCTTTAGCCTGTAGCTTAGTTTAGATTTTTTACATATTATGTTCCATTACTCTAAATGTATTTTTTATTTATTTATGGCTTATATAAAAATATATAGTTATATAAACGCTTCGCTCTGAATCTGATCATGCATTTTTGCGCATTGATCTAAGGCCTGGCTATTTTAAATAGATCCGTAAATTCTGTATTTTAAAAAATGATCGTTTATAAGGACTAAGCTGTTAATAAATGTAAGTCTTCGAATGGAAAAGTTTTGATTAAAGTCCTGTCGTTTTAAAGATTTTCTACAATTTAGGAAGAATTAGATTAAAGAAAACTTAATTCGCCATAGGCCTGTAGTGCGCTAATGCACTTCCCTTTTTTATTATTTAATGCAATAGTAAAACCATAAAATAAAATGCAAACAGTTAGCAGCACCGAGAAGAGCCAATGTCAAGTTATTAGCGCAACGCACAGACAGCTAGCTCGTCAGTTAGTCTGAACTACAAGCCATTATTTATTGTCAAATAAGTATGTCTTTATTTAGTTCCTTTAAAAATTTATTCATTAATCCAGCGTTTTAGAATTTCTCGAAAGTCTTGTTGAGTGAAGAATACGCGAGAAATATATTGCGGCTCACCTTATATCACCTTGGCTCACCTTATATATATATATATATATATATATATATATATATATATATATATATATATATATATACCACAAAATGAAATACCAGATAGGCCCAATGCTACTAACAGCAACAACAACATATAAAATAATAATAATAAGACGGGCGCACTTTGGCGTTGCAATAAAATCTTGAAGATCTTAAAGCCTGCTTCTTTTTGTTTTTAAGGTATTGTTTTCGTTATTACTGATTCAAATTACTGCATGGGAGACGGAGCGGGCTAATCAGGTGCAATCATCGAATATAGGCTATTCAACGCAAGCCGGCGCCTCTGTATTGACTGCATGACTGGATGTGGTGAACTGTCATGATTTTGGCTTTTGCAGGACACTGAGTAATGCTCATCAGAGGGGATTTAGAAGTGGTCAAAGCCACCTGATGAATAAGTGGTGATCACGATACCTGCGCGTATAGCCTATCGATTTGCGACTTGTAAAAAGCATTTATGTCCTTGTCTTTTTATGAGTAATTTTCCGAAACTTTAAAAGCACCATGCATGCGCAAATTGAAAGCCACATACACCTGACTCTTACATTTTTCACGACACACATCTGCCAATTTTATTAATATTATTTAAGTTTTTACGCAATTTAGGTCATTTTAGGTCATTTTAAGTCATAATTTTACATACGTTGTATTGCATTATAGGCCTACTGACCTAAATAAGCTTTTTGCATCACTTTTCATCACGCAGTTTAAACGTTTACAGGCAAATTCCTTTAAATTACTTTTGGTGCAATAAATAAGCCAGAATAGTTGAACGTGTTAACATATTCTTTAAATGTATTTATGACAATTAGTTACTAAACAAGGTAAATCATAATTAATTCGCCAAGAAATGCTCCACTTATATTACCTAGGCTGTATAAGCCTATATCCATGGAATGGAAATATATGTACACTTACATTAACATTAAAGTTGTGCTTTTGTAAAATAGAGAAAATAAGCAAGATGCACTTTCTGCAGCCTCCGTGAAATATGGCGCGTCACAGCAATGAGCTGAAAATTAAACAATAGAAACCCTTATATGCAGCGTTGGTTATCTTAAAATGTTAAGCCAACACTGACTGAGAATAATGCTGCACTAGTTACACGTAGCTACAATAGTTTACACGTTTTCTTTTCCCCCAACACATTCATAATCATTACTCTTGCCAGCGCAAGTTTCATGCGCCCGCTTGAGCGCCGAATAGGCTAAGCCTATGCCGGCGCTTATATAGGCTATGCAAGATGACAATTTGGGTGGCACCACAGCACATGCTGGCACAACCGTGGCTATGCCCCTGCTACAATAACAACAGCAACCACAACAAAATAATAACAAAAAATAATAATAAGATAGGTAGGCTTTGCTGTGCAATAAAATAATATTAATTATCAAATAAATAATTAAAATAGCCAATAGCATATAATTAAAATAGGTTTAAAAAAATGTAAGAAAAATTTAATAGAAATGGTACCATTTGTTATAGCCCCATGATGGGCCGTTTTTTTATTCTAGTCCTTACAACTATTAAAAAACTAAGTAAATAATTATAATAATAATTTTATTATTATTATTATTAGTTATTACTATTATTTAGGCCTACAGCGCATCAGAAATGGCTATCTTTGCTCAGCATCAGGTGCACAGCAGCAAGTTTGGCACCGAACTATGAATTTATTTGAATAGCTAATGTTTAATAATACTACTAATTTACGTTTTTATTTAATTTATACATACGCAATGAGTGTAAACGTGCTAACTGTGTGTGGTTCAAATGATAGAATATAAACTTCGTTTATTTATAATTAAATAATAATAATAAAAAGCCTGCGTGCAGGGCTTTTATTTTGAGGGCGACGTCACAAGCTCAGATTTGGTTGACCAATGAGAGGAAAGTTGGCGTTTCAGCGCCGCCTACATGTGTATAATGAACTTTAAACTCATTTATTCGTTTTCCTACCCTAAATCAAAAAACGAAAATCCAGCCAAAATCTCGTTTTTTTGTTAGCAAAAGAAAAACCGAAAAACTGCCGTTTTCTTCCTTTCCTTTATTCCGTTTAAAACCAGAAAATAAATGATGCACGGCCACACTGTGTTAAATTTTTTGATCAAACGAATAAACAAATAAGTACACCATTTTTTGACTCATTATTTCGTTTTGGTTTTGTGTTTGTTTTAATATTTCGTTTTAAGTTAATAAGCAGAATAACAGATGAGTTTCCGTTTTTTCTGCCTACAGAATAAACAGAAAAACGAAATATTAATCGTTTTTCTGATGTTTCGTTTTCCGTAATAAGAGGAATAATCAAAAGAACGGATGATACACGGACCTACATGCTCCTTAAGTATTAAGAACTTTTTCAAATGGAGAAAGTTGTGGTAATTGTGGAAGTTCTGTTGTTTAATTGGATTGAACATTTCATTTAAACAAAAATTGAAATGCAACCCTTCATCTCTGCTTACTTGCGAATGTATGGGCCTTACTTGCGAAAATGGGCGGCACAGTGTCAGTGGTTAGCATGTTATCTTTGTTGGTTGCTGGTTCCGGCTGGACCAGGAAACATTTCTGTGTGAAGTTTGCATCTTCTCTCTGTATTCATGTGGGTTTCATTTATTTGTGCTTACAGGTCTCCTGTTTGCACTAATAGAGCACAGCATCATGCAAGACTGCTCAGATGGTTATAAAAAACAAAGAGGAAAGTGTGTAGGTATGACTAAAGAAAATATAAAGAAAATAAAGAAGATAATATATAAGAAAATGTTCATCATTACTCTTTTGACAACAACTCTCTACTTTGAGCAACATGCACTTGCTGATATAATGATTATTCACAATTTTTGTCATTTCGGTAGATGAAGATGAGTGTGAGCAAGAACTCATTTGTGGAGAAAATTCAAACTGTTACAACACTGTTGGCAGCTATTACTGTCAGTGTCACACAGGGTTCATACCAGAGGGTACTAAACCAACTGTTAATTTCACACGAGCAGATGGGATTCAGTGCAAAGGTAAAGAAAGCTTGACATGCTACATTTCGCATAACCAGAAGCAGAAACAGCATCTGAATCTGTTATTCTCATTTGATACATCAATGAATGTGTAGATGAAAACACTGATTGTGGCTTCAATGCATAATGTGTGAATACTAGAGGAGGTTTTTATTGCCCATGTAAATCTGGCTTCTTTTCCAGAAGTAGAAACTATATATATTTTAGTAGGACTAGGAGTTCAATGTTTTGGTAAGTTATTGATTCATGGCTTTATATTGGGACGGGAATCAAACCAAGACCCCTTTTTAAACTACGAGCAGTTGCTGGACTCTTAATGTCTATTGAATTTAATATGTTTATTAAACTTTTTTTTAATAAATTCACAGCACAAAACTCTCCTCAGTACTGTCAGTCTGTGCATTAGTGCTGGAGATTTTAGTTGCAGTTAAATTTGCATTGCGTTGGTGACAACCAACTGTTATGAGAATCACTGAATCATTTATTCAGCTGTTTCAAAATAATGTAAAATTATACAAAATAATAGGAAAACCTTAATTATTTCAGGATAATTATCTGTCATCACTTTACAAATATTTCACATAATCAGCAGCAGAAACTCATTTTGTCTCATTTTAGACATCAATGAATATGTGGAGGAAAACAAAAGCTATGTTTACATCCACCTATTTTTATGCACATTTTGCATATGCGCATAAAAAAAAAACTGATAATGGAAATGTCATGATGCGCATACATTTTGAAAAACATATGCGCATAACTGAGTAGGATAAACTTTTTATTCAATAGGAAAAGATGCACATAAACTACGATGGAAACACTTTTACTGCACAAAATTCAAGAATGTGATTTTGTGATTATCGGGACTGCACACATTCCATACATGGATTAAATCAACTATATAGCACCCCCCCACCCCCCATACTTTTTTTTGTATTGTTTAAAATAAGTAAAATAATATTAGACTTTAAAAAACTTTGTTAGGGATCCCTCTGTCCCAACTGTTTTGGAGCATGTTGCAGCCATCAAAATAAAATTGTGTTAATACACCCTTTCCACATTTCCGGGTTTCTCAGCAGCAGAATTCGTCATAGTTAGGTAAACTTAAAGCATAGTGAATGGGAGAATACAACAAATATATATTTCTTACAATTCTATTTCCTGAAATAATAAAAGAAAAACTCTGCGATGGTGTTCCCAATACTTCCCAATCAGACTCCCAATCAGAAAAAAATAAAAATAAAAATAGTGTGAGACTGGTGACTGCAGCCAGAGTAGAGAATAGTGTCAAATCCCATAGTTTTACATACATAAGAAACATAAAAAACAACTCACACATAAGAAACACCTCACATATGCTCTAATTATTATTTTTGTGTGTGTGTGATTTAATGCAAAGATGATATAAATGCGCAAATATGTTTATACTTAAAAAAAATCTAAATATTAAAAACATTCATGGATTTAAGATTACGATGACCGTTAAACCTGCCTTAACAGTCTGGTGAAAAATGTCCATGTTTACAAAATACAATTTACTCGAAACTGGAAACCTTTTGTACATCTGTCGAATAAATAAAGGTTAAAGAAAAACAGCAAATGACATATTCTTGATTTTATTGCATTTTACAAAATGTTCTAACTTTTTTGTAATTGATGTTGCATGTTTTTCAACATGACTAGCAATTTTAAACAAACATATGTAATAATTGTCAGGTGTATTTCATGTGACAGCTGTTTTTCAGAAACAGCATCTGAATCTCTTTTCATCTCATTTCAGACTTCAATGAATGTTTGAATACCAGCATTAATTGTGGTCCAAATGCAGAATGTGTCAATAATGAAGGAGGTTATGCCTGCATATGTAGAACTGGCTACACTCCCAACAATGGAAAGCAGACATTTTTTGTAGGACAAGGAGTTCAGTGTGATGGTAAGAAACTCATATTTTTGTTGGCCTTTTTTAGTACATGATTAAATTCAAGTTTTTATACTTCATGCAGTTAGTGCACTATGAAATTGTGTTTGATACTGTAGAACAAAATTAACACATCCAACGTGCAAAATAAAGATTCTGCCATTAAAAATTAAAACATTTTATTTGTAGTTTAAGTTTAAGTGGAACTTGTTTATAACTACATTTTCATTTACTACAAGTGAACATAATGGTTTGCTGATAGGTAATAGATTTTAATCGTGTGACACATTGTGTACTTTGTAAAAGTGCACTAATCTTATTAAATTATTTTACAAAAGCTCTTAAACTGCTTAAGATTTCTTATTTTGTAAATTGTGAAAGTACACTTTGACATGTAATCTCAGTAATGTTTCAAATTTCTTTAAATTAACTTTTGTGGTAGTTTTGTGGACCAAGCACCAAAATTACAAGAAACATTATTATGCTTAATAGTAGTAGTAGTTGTGGTAGAAGAACAGTGGCGTAAAGTAACTAATTACAAATACTCAAATTACTGTAATTAGCTACTTTTTCTCATGAATTGTAATTTACTGAGTAGTTTAAAAAATGTGTACTTTTACTCTCACTTGAGTACATTTTTAGTGCAGTATCGATACTTTTACTCCACTACTTTTTTTTTTTCCTGTCTATGGGGATTAGAAAAATCAGTCCTGTAATTCCCGCCCAATTAAATCGCACATAGAAGGTAAATTGCCTCAAATGAATTACCTCAAGACATGGGCGATTTATAAATGCAGCAAACTGTCTAGAAGCATTAAAAGGGTCTAAGACGATGTCCAAAATCTTTACACCCATTGACCCAGAGACTGTTTAGATGCATGTGACTGATGAGAAGATGACAGATGTTTATGTATGGGGACTGAAATGGCCTTAAACACCCAACAAGTACAAGACATCAACATGACGTCAGATTGACGTTGAACCCAATGTCGTGGGGACGTTGCATTTTGTTTGGTATTTACTATGATCTTCTATGTAAAGCTGCTTTGACACACTTTTCATTGTAAAAGCACTATACAAATAAAGGTGAATTAAATTGAAAGGAAAATCGGGTTGACGTCAGAACTCAATGTCAGACCAACGTCAATGTCCAACCGAAAACCAACCAAATATCAACGTCTAATGATGCCACAACTTGAAGTTGTGTGAACGTTACCACTATGACGTCTATCAGATGTTGGATTTTGGTTGCCATACCTGATGAATAAATATCAGTCTTTGACATCAATATGATGTTGGTTTAAGATGTTGGCTTGAAGTTGGATATTGGTCACTTACTAACACAACCTAAAATCGACCAAATAACTACGTCATTTAACGTTGTTATTGGACATCAAAATAACCTAAATCTAACTTAATATTAACGTCCTATGTGCCTGCTGGGCAATAAATACATGCATTACAGAATGTTACGTTTACACACATCCACAAATACATGTAAATGAATCAGCTTTTCACAGCGTAATAAACACTACTCATGAGTACTTTTAAAAGGGCTACTTTTTACTCATACTTAGAGTAATATTCACAACAGATACTTTTACTCTACTTGCACTACATTTTTAGGCAAGTAATGGTACTTTTACTGGAGTATGATTTTTCAGTACTCTTTCCACCACTGTAGAAGAACTACTACTACTACTACTAATAATAATAATAAAAACTACTAATACTAACAACAGTGTCACAGGGAGAAGAATCACACGACAAGTGAGAGCTCATATAAATGCCCCGGAGGGTGGTTTATTTACAAGAGGTTTTCCCAGTGGTGAATTCAGGTTGGTGGCTTGTGTGCTCTTTGTGCTCCTTTCCCAGTGTGACAGTGGATTAGTGAAGTGCCTCTGTGATTCCAGCAGGTTCTCAGCTGCTTTCTGGGAAAATAGAGAGAGAGTGAGCGAGTTAGTGCTTGTTCTCATGGAGAGACTTCTCCCTGTTCTGCTGTGTTGCTGCAGTTTAAATGCAAGCTGGCTGATGGTCTGCAGCTGGGGCCAATCAGTCTGAGTTGATGGCATGCAGGTGTTTCTCCTTTGTTTCCTGGGCGACGCTGATGATCCTTTGGGACGCTCGTCACAAACGGTTAATTTTACACAAACTATGGGATGTATAGTATTTAGTGTAAATGTCAAGAAATTTTGATCAATACATTTTATATGAATCAATGAATGTGTGGGGGAAAACTAAAAAATTAGTTGTAAGGCAAGGCAAGTTTATTTGTATAGCACATTTCATACACATTGGCAATTCAAAGTGCTTTACATAAACAGGAATAAAAAAGACAAGTTTAGGAACATAAAATGCAGACTATAAAAATGATTAAAAACAGATAAAAACAAATTAAAATGAGTTAAAATAGGTTATAAAAGAATAAAAAAGAAAACGAAAAACATAATAGTGCGATCTGTCGGACGCAGCACAGTGCTCATTCAGTAAAGGCACAGCTAAACAGATGTGTTTTCAGTCTTGATTTGAATGTGCCTAATGTTGGAGCACATCTGATCATTTCTGGAAGCTGATTCCAGCAGCGAGGAGCGTAATGGCTGAAGGCTGATTTACCCTGCTTTGACTGAACCCTTGGAATTTCTAGTTTATATGATCCTAAAGATCTGAGTGATCTGTTGGGTTTGTATTTAGTGAGCATATCTGTGATGTATTTAGGTCCTTGGCCATTTAGTGATTTATAGACCAGCAATAATACTTTAAAATCTATTCTGAATGTAACTGGCAGCCAGTGTAAAGACCTGAGGACAGGTGTGATGTGCTCTGATTTCCTGCTTCTGGTCAGAATCCTGGCCGCAGCATTCTGGATGAGCTGCAAGTGTCTGACTGTCTTTTTGGGAAGGCCAGTGAGGAGGCCGTTACAGTAATCCACCCTGCTGCTGATAAAAGCATGAACAAGTTTCTTTAAGTCTTTACTGGAAACAAAGCATCTGATTCTTGCTATGTTTTGAGATGATAGTATGCTGATTTACTAACTGCTTTGGCATGACTGTTGAAACTCAGATCTGACTCCAGAGTCACACCAAGATTCTTGACCTTATTTTTTGTCGTTTGACCTTTAGAGCCAAGGTACGCATTCACCTTGAGAACCTCATTTCTGTTCCCGAATGCAATGACTTCAGTTTTCTCTTTGTTTAACTGAAGAAAATGTTGTCACATCCAATTGTTAATTTTATTAATGCATTGGCAGAGGGTGTCAATGGGGCTGTAGTTATTAGGCATTAAGGCTAGGTAGATCTGAGTGTCATCAGCATAGCTGTGGTAGGAGATTTGGTTCTTTCTCATTATTTGGCTCAGGGGGAGCATGTAAAGGTTGAACAGGAGAGGTGCCAGAATCGAACCTTGTGGGACTCCACATGTCATGGGTGTCCACCTAGACCTATGATCACCTTTACAGACATAGTAACCTCTCCCTTCAAGGTAAGATCTGAACCATTTGAGGACCGTGCCAGACAGCCCAACCCAGTTTTCCAGGCTATCCAGAAGTATGCTGTGATCGACAGTGTCAAATGCAGCACTGAGATCGAGCAATACCAGCACTGTTATTTAGACGTATATCATTAATTATCTTTATAAGAGCGCTCTCTGTACTGTGATGTGCTCTGAAACCAGATTGAAAATTGTCTAAACACCCCCTGAAGTTTAAGAACTTGTTGACCTGGTTGAAAACAACTTTTTCAATAATTTTGCCAATGAAAAGGAGATTTGAGATTGGTCTGTAATTGCTCAATAGGGTGTTATCCAGGTTGTTCTTCTTCAAGAGGGGTTTAACAACTGCAGTTTTAAGTTTGGAAAAATCCCTGAGAGAAGTGAAGCATTTACCAATTTTAGGAGATCCATTTCAAAACAGGTAAACACCGTTTTAAAGAATGATGTGGGGAGCGTGTCAAGACTGCAGGTTGATGTTTTTATAATTTGCACGATCTCTTCTAAGATTTTACCGTTAATTGCCATGAAATCAGACATAATGTCTGATTTCTTAAGTTGTGGTTGAGCTTGTTTGACATCAACACAACTTGGCTGATTGGATGAGCTGATTGCCTTTCTGATATTATTGATCTTATCAGTAAAGAAATGAGCAAACTTATTACATTTACTTTCAGAGGGGAGCTCACTGGGAATCCGACTGGGGGGGATTGTGAGTCTCTCTACTGTTGCAAAGAGTGTGCAAGCATTACTTACATTGTTGTTTATAAGATTTAAAAGGAAAGCCTGTCTAGCAGTTTTTAGTTCCACATTAAAAGCATAAAGACTGTCTTTATAGATATTATAATGGATTACTAGTTTCGTCTTTCTCCACATTCGCTCAGCTTTCCTGCATTGTCTTTTCTTCATTTGGACTGCTCTTGAGTTTCTCCAAGGGACTCTCTCTTTGCCAGTTCTCTTTCTAACTTTAACCGGAGCAATGTCATTTAAGACATTCTCAATTTTAGAATTAAACAAATCAAGAAGAGAATCAACAGAATCTGCAGATATACTTGGTGCTAGCGAGATGGCCTTCATAAACTGCTCACTGGTGTTCTCATTTATGCATCTCTTTCTGACAGAGACAGATCTGTCTTTAATAGCTGGAGTGATCAATATATCAAAGAAAATACAGAAATGATCAGATAGTGCAACATCCTTAGCAACAGTTGATGAAATGTGTAAACCCTTAGTTATAGGTAGATCAAGAGTGTGTCCACGATTGTGTGTGGGTCCTTGAACATGCTGAGTCAGATCAAAAGTGTTAAAAACAGTCATCAGTTATTTTACAGCATTGACTTCTGGATTATCAATGTGAATATTAAAATCCCCAGCAATACTAATATAATCAAATTGAGAGGTTACTATTGATAACAGTTCTGTGAAATCATCAATAAAACCTGGAGAATATTTTGGAGGTCTGTAGATAATGATCAGTAAGATGCGTGGAGCACCTTTCAGTGCTATACTCAGATATTCAAAAGACAAATAGTCACCAAATGACACTTGTTTACACTCATATACATCTTTAAACAGGGCAGCGATGCCTCCACCTCTTCTATTAACTCTGCAAACGCTCAAAAAGTCTCCACTTCACTTTCTAATCTGCAATTGCCTCTCTGAATA